GGAAAATGCACTGATCCATAACATTGGGATGGGGCATTTGACAGTAAGAACTGTGGGACCTGTTGATCTAAATATCTCCAGTTAGTAAATAGTTGGAACTACTCACAATTAAACAAAACTGTGGGTACTGGAGATCTGAAGCAAACAAAACAAATTGCTGAAAAACTCAAATCTAGCAAAACCTGTGGAGAAAAAACAGTTGTTGATTCCTCTGACCTTTCAAACCATTCTCTGCAATGTGCTAATGGATTTGCTTTTTCAATTGAAATATTTACTCCAGTTATAATGCAAATCAATGAACGGTTTTTCAATTGTTTTTTTCAGTTTTGGAATTCTTAACTGTTTTGAGAAACTAACCCAGATAATTGATTCTAATCAGAATAGTGTAGCAAACTTATTAACCAGCTCCTATTGGATCAGGTGTGTATTGGTTGATCAAATTTTCTAGTAAATCAAGAGGTCCACATAATGTAAAAACACTAATAGAAATATAATACGGAGGTATACACATTACTGTTGTACTTCGATTACAGCATAAATCACTTTAATGCAATTTTGTCTTAAATAAAACTTGCAGAGAACCTTCTCACTTGTGTCCTAAACTGACTACTCTAACATTTTGATAATACAGTAAGTTTTCAGTATTTCCAGTATATAATTTTTGCCAGTCTCTCAAGGGTGCTGGTTAAAACCAAGTTTGCTGTATATAGTTGTTTAGCAATTAATTGCCAACTTTTTAATTGTTGTTTGCTGTTGACTTGCAGTTAGAATACATCTAAGGCTATTGTAATAAGTGAAAACCCTGACCGTCCTTGTAGACTCTAGCTAACAATAATTAACCTCGGCTATAGAATTTAAAGTTAAACAAATTTATTTTTTAAACCTTTAATATGGGAAGTTACACAAGTCTCTATAGACCCTTATTTAAATGTCTTTTGGTTGTATCAATGGACTCTTTATATATTTAACTGTTGCCACTTAACCATTGGTTTCCAATGACTTAAGGGCTGTTGAGATGGAAAATTTCTCCAGAATTTTCCAACACCACCTAAAGATATGGAGACGCTGGAGAGGGTGTAAATAGGTTTTTACAAGGATAGGTAAAACCCTGCAGTTTTGCCACCAGGGAATGAGCAGGCTGGGTGTTGCTTATCGACAAAAAGATTGGGAGGGGGTCACAGGTGTTAGGGATAAGAGACCCTGCCAAAAGGAATTGCTTAGGGCAAGGTGATGAGCATGTGAGGTAGAACAAGGTTATGTTTGTAAAGAAGGATAATAGCATGTTTGCCTGGGGCAATTGACTTGTTTCTGTCCTGTATGTTCTGTGAAAATCCCATGTGCATTGATACTGTTATATTTGCAAAGACTTTTTGGACTTCCAAGATCAGTTGAATATTTTGAGTGCTCAAACAAAGGAGTTGTTTCCATCCACTTTCTTCTAAAGATGACAGATTATGTCACATTGCAGTTTTATGGGATATAGGTTTCTAACAGTGCCGTAGCAAATTCTGAAATTGATCTCATTTGGAAAAATTTACTGAAGTTAGTGGATTATTGTAAAAGCATAAATTCTTAACCTCTGTGAGGGAGGAAATTGGTCATTCTCATTAGATCAGGCTGATACCTGATTTTTACTCTTGCATTGCTAAGTTGTATTGCTACCCTGAAGTGTCTTGGCAAAGCATTTAGTTGTAAGAAATCTGATAAAAGGCCTGTTGTTCTCATCTGAACGCAGTGGAGGTTGGATCAAAATGAGGTCCAATGCATTGTTCAGAAGCCAAAAACTAAAGTTCCGTTATGATATTGTCTTGTTTAGTTTTCCCTTTTGACCTAGAGTATAAGCACACTACTCACCCCCGAGTCAAATGGATATAATTAAAGTTCCTTCTGGAGAGAGCACAGAATCCTTGCCTGATACTGAAGTACTCACTTACGTCAGGCTGCAGATGCCACATTTAAATTGGAAACACTGACTGTTGCAGATCTGCTCTTGGATAGATGCAGAATATTCCAGTATTATTTGGAGAGGCAGGAGGGTTCTGCTTCGAGTCATAGATTCCCTGCAGGACAGATTTAGAGGCCATTCAGCCCATGTCCTCTCTCTCTCTCTCTCTCTCTCACCTCTCTCTCCCCCCCACCCCCTAATATCTTATAGCCTAGATCCTAACATTTTATTTTAAAGACAAGTGCCAGGTGTTGTATTCGGATGCTACTTTGTTTCAAATCTGCTAGCTTAATCATGTCACTTGCCTTCCTAATTGTTTGCCGTACTTGCATGTTAACAAATTCTTGTACAAGGCTCTAACCCTTCAAATGTCATAATTTTCCAGTCTTTCTGAATGTAAAAGTCCTACCTGCCTTGTTTTCCTTTCACAGTAGATTATGGTCCTCCACAGATCCTACATCCATTCTAATATAACTCTACCACTCAAGCTGCCTATATCCCATTTCTGCCTCTTTGTATCATCCCCCCCCCCATACTGACTTGTTTGCCTAAAGTTTGTCAAACCAGATGTTTGCATTGTCTTTTCATCCAAGTTATTGATCAAAATTATAAACAAGATGCACGCAATGATGCTTGTGATATGCCACTAGTTACTGAAATCAGCTTTGGAAATGACCTGTTTGTTCTTGTTTCCAGTTTGATTAACTGGTGCTCAGTCTATGCCACAATAAATCCTACCTTTGTATATAACATGGCATATTTATCAAATCCATTATTTTCTTGTATTTGAGAGTAAAGGGTCAACAATTTCAAGATTGGCAGCAAGAGACCCAAAAGTGAGATGGAAAGAAACATCTTTACTCAGTTGATAGGATTTGGAATCTGCTGCTTGGAAGTGTGATGGAGGCAGATTCCATAGGAAGCTTCAAAAGAGAGTTGGATATTTGGTAGTGAGTTGGAGAGCTGTGGAAATGGGGCTGGAGAATGGAACGAGCTGGGTAGCTCTTTTGGGACCCATTACAGGTACAATGGGTTAAGTGGCCTCATGTTGTATAATCCTAATGAATCTGATTCTAATGTTTTCTTGTTCCACCTTCTAACTTAATTACATTGTCCAGCTACATTCCCTTTCTCAAATTTGACAGCCACAGTTTTAAGTATGGATCAGCAGATTTCTATAAATTCTAGCATTTTCCCTGCTACTGAGATGCCGGTGGCTGCTCCTTGTTTTCTTGAATAGTGGAGTTATATTTTCAACCTTGTGGCTCTGCTCTAGAATCTAAGGAATGATCCAAAATCAAAGCTAACACATGTCATCTTTGTAGACATAACAGTACTGAGCTGGAGGAGCACAGCAGGCCAGGCAGGAAAGCAGGACATTTTGGGTCAGGTCCCTTCTTCAGAAATTGTGGGGGTGGGGAGCTGGGAAGGTAGTGGGTTGGTGATAGATGAGCGCAGGTAGGGAGTGGTGGGGATTAGTCAGTGAGATGGGATGTGATGGGAGGGGAGGGGAGGATAGGTGGGAGAGAAGATGGCCGGGTCAGGTCAAGGAGACAGGGATGAGAGGGAAGCTTGAGCAAGGCATGAGGTTGGAGGTGGGGAGATTTTAAAACTGGTGGATTCTATGTTTAGGCCATTGGGCTGTAGGCTTCCAAGGCAGAATATGAGGTGTTGCTTCTCCGGTCTGCATGTGGTGTCAGTGGCACAGTAGGAGGCCCAGGATGGAAATGTCACAGTGGGAGGGGGAAAGAGAAAATGGCTGGCAACCAATAGGTACTGTTGTTTGTCACGTACAGAGCACAAATGCTCAACGAAATGGTCTGAGTCTACACTTGGCCTCACACTGTAGAGGAGGCCACATCGGGAGCAGCGGATACAGTGGACCAAGTTGGAGAATGTGCAGGTGACCCCCTGTCTGATATGAAAGGTTTGCTTTGGGCCTTGAATGGAGGTGAGTGGGGAGGTATAGGGATAGATGTTGCAGGGGAAGGTGCCGGGGTGGTGGGATTAGTGGGGAATGGAGTGGACGAGGGAATCTTGGAAAGTGCAGTCCTTACGAAAGGCAGATAGGGGTGGAGAGGGAAATAGCTCTCTTTAATTGTGGGGTTGGGTTGTAGGTGGCGGCGAATGATACGCTGGATGTGGAGGTTGGTGGGGTGATGTGTGAGGACAAGGGAGGGGTGTTCTATATTTTTGTTTGGGTGGGAGTGGGGATGTGAGGGCAGACGTGCAGGAAATGCAAGAGATGCGGTTGAGGGCATTTTTGAAGTTACGGTCCTTAAAATAGGAGGACATTGGGATGTGGAATGCCCCATCTTGGAAGCAGGCGCAGCAGAGGAATTGGGAGTAGGGAATTTTTTTTTTTTTTTTTTTTGTTTTTTGCAGGAAGGTGGCTGAGAGAGTTGGTGGGCTTGAAATAGACGTCAGTTTCGAGGCAGTGACTTGAGATGGAGAAATATTGGAGGTGGATTTGAGGTTGGGGTGAAAGGTGTTAGTAAGGTTGCTGAAGTGTTCGAGCTCCTCGACCCAAAATGTCAACTGTCCTCCTCTTCTGATGCTGCCTGGCCTGCTGTGTTCCTCCAGCTCCATACTGTTATCTGACTCTAGCATCTACAGTTCTGCTATCTCATCATCTCTGTGGTACCTCTTAAAAGTTGTAGGGTATAGGCATTGATATGAATTGTATGGCTTTTGTTTTTTTTTTGCAAATTGGGGTTTCAATCAAACACTCGGTTACAGGTGCCTTCATAAGATTTATGCTTGTAATGCTTCACTTTATAAAGAAATGTACGACAATTAAGTCTTCTCCAAGTATTATTCACCAACTCTCTCAAACCATATTCTGACCCAAATGATTTGTTTAATTTTGGTCCCATTCATTTTCTGCTGTGTTGTTACCTTAAAGTTCATTTGACCCTTTAGTTCCTACACTTTCCTCAATGTTTGTCGTCTTGGAGGCTGATTTTTTAAAAAAAAAAATGTATTTATTTAATGTGTGCCATTTTCTCCTTCTCCATTAATTTCTTAGCCTGAATTTATCTGGTTTTTTTAACAGACGTTTACAGCATGGTGCAACTCTCACTTACGGAAGGCAGGGACACAGATTGAAGTAATTGAAGAAGATTTCAGAGATGGACTTAAACTTATGCTACTACTGGAGGTGATTTCAGGTGAGAGTGAGCAAGATCTGTAAAAGCCAGCAGCTTTTTTTTAAAAAAAAAAAAACACCTGTTCCAGCCCAACAGGAGTCTTCATCCACAGATAAAGAAATCTCTTACCATGTTCAGATGGCCACAATTTTTCTTTCTGCGTTGAGTTTTTTTTAAATTGACTACCCCATGACCAGCTTAAAAACTGAGACTGGTTTTATTTGGAGAGAATTGATTTGGTGTGTAGTTTAGAATGAACACATGCCCAGGCTGCTTGCAATGTCCTGTTTATGCTATTAGACCCAGTAGCTGCTTGTTCAAAGAATGCAAGCGTTTCCTTTTTCTGATTATATTTTACTTGAACAGGATAATGAAAGTTAATCTTCAAATGCAAATAGTGATGCTATTGTTATCTTGTACAACTATTTAAAGTTCCAGTCCAAAGGTCTGAAGTGCAAACATTTTAGACCTATATTCCATATTCGCTTCAGTGTTCACTTGGTTTTTAGTTATGGTATGATCGCTGTTGATGCATAATGCAGCACTTAAAACACTTTCTTTAATCAAGGCAGGAGAAATAACAACCGACAGGTTGAGCTGTTGTTGAGTTCACCCATGTATGGGAAATGTGAGCTTTAAGTCAGGGTTTCTGTAGAGCCAAACAAAACTGCTAGATACTTAGGATATTTAAATTGCTTTTCACACTATACAAATTCTAATTGTTAGATTATCACTGCTTAATTTCAACATATTTTGTTCAGTGGAGATTTAATATCAATGCTCATGACATCTCTCGGAAATCCATAATCTAGTTGGTGAATAGCATTAGACATGGCAAGAATCGCAGATGCTAGAGTTAGAGACACCACAGTGTGGAGCTGAAGGAGCACAATACGCCAGGCAACACCAAGCAGGAAGGCTAGTGTTTTGGGTCCATACCCCCCTCCAGGAGTGGCATGTCTGGACTTGTGCCGCAATTCAAAATATTTCTGCTGCCTTGACATTTTTCAAAAATTCTATCTTTTTTATAAGGACTTGGTGAACTTCTCTCCTCATTTGAATGGTTCGGTGAAGGTGACTGCATGCTCCAGTCAATGCTAGGCTAACTGATCTTGGCCAGTTGGTAACCTGTTACTGAGAGAAATATTGGCCAAGGCTTCCTGTTCTAGGGATAGCAATGTGATAGTTAACAATTACGTTTGTGTAATACCACTATGATGCATTGAAAACAGAGTTGGATAGTGTTGGCTAGAGAGCCAAAGGTTATGGAGGCAGACTGAAGAGTGGAGTTGAGGTTAGAATCAAATTAGCAGCAATCTTTTCAAATGGCAGAGCAGGCTTGAAGGACTAAATGACTACTTCCTTTTGTCCTATGCTCCTTATGATAACGTTAATCACAATTCTTTTACTCCTGAAGCCACTGAACGTTTTAGAGAGGAAAGCAAATAGTAAGATCAAGAGAGAATGAAGTAAATTTTTCCTGTGATTCCTTTCCCAGAAATATTACATAAACACTTTGAACCATATGGGTTCCTTTTTTGGCTCAGGATTGATTAGCGGGCATTATTTTTGTCCCTTGCCAATGGAGAAATGCAGAGAATGCGTGCCTTCAAAACTTTAACTTTGCTTCACTTCCTGTGCGTGGATGTTTTCCTATACCTTGTGCAAGTGGCTGTTGTTTGTTAATGCAAATCATTGAACTTCAGACAACAGGGGCTGCCTGCTTTTATGAACATTCATCTGACTTGTGCAAGTGATCACATACTGGAGTGTAATTTTAAAGGCCAGACAAAATTGTATGTACTTATGAACAGCTACTCTTTTTTTTTCCTGTATTGTGTTCCAATTTGTGTATGAATTGAATTGTGAATGGGTTCTAGAATGGAACCTAGTCACATCTTGGAGCCTGCTTATATTCAAGTTGGTTGTGGTATCGGGCAACCTCAAATCTGTTGCGAACAGTTGTCTGCACATGCATACTCTTAGCTGGGTCATTGCTAACTAATGATTAGTGAAAATATTACCATCCTCTGAGATCAGTTAACTCTACATGGATCAGGAATTCGAGCTGGAACTGTACTGTAGTTTCATTTCTTACTAGATAGCCTAATTCAGCAGTAGTCACTGTTAATTATTTGACTGAATTTTAGATTTGGTATGAAATTTGTTTAAGTAACGTATAATTTTTGTTGTCCACCATTGCAAATGCCATTGCAGTCAGAACAGCTGAGGGGATTTTCTAAAACTTTCATCATTTCTTTAGTCAGGTTGGTGAGCCTATGGAATTATCTGCCACAGTGGCTGGAGCCAAAATATTGGAGTTTTGAAGGAAGAGTTAGAATATAGTTGGGGCTAAAGAGATCTAAGGGTATGGGGTGAAATTGTGAACAGAGGACTGATTTAGATGGTCAGCCATGGTTGTATTGAATGATAGTGCAGACTCAAAGTGCCAAATAACCACCTGTTTTTAGGATACATGAATAGATAAGTATTTTTCTGCTGATATCGTTCCCAAATGTTGGGCCTTCGCTGTCTTTGTAATCAGCTTTATCTATCAAATGTCCACCACAGTGAAGTCTTAACTTTGAATTCTGGTATTAGCTTGCATGTCTTGTGGTTTGTAAAAGTTGTTTTTGTTTACAGTCATTAGACCCTTGGTCATTTAATCTGTTAAATAAATTACAGTATCTGAAACTGAAGTTTTTTGTTAATATAATTGTTGTTTCATTGGACTTGTAACCTAAAGTAGATTCTTGGAATTATGGCTTTGTAACTTCATCCAAGTGATTAACAAAAAAGAAAATATACAATATTTCCTTCCTCTAGGAGAGCGATTACCTAAACCAGAGCGTGGAAAAATGAGGGTGCATAAAATAAACAATGTCAATAAAGCGTTGGATTTCATTGCATCCAAAGGAGTAAAACTTGTGTCCATTGGGGCAGAAGGTAAGAAAAAAATAGTGTGCATACAAAGTTTTGAATTTAAGAGCAGAATAGGCCACTCTAAGTTCATGATCCATCTGTTTGTGTTCTAAATTCCATAATCCCATCTACCCTGGATAAGTTTTATGTTGGGTTTATCTGTGGAAATATGCTTTACCACATTGCCTGTAGCTAGATATGTTCATTAATATATTCAGCAACATAATGGTCCTTTGATATTTATATCAGTTAGTTGGCTGTATTTGGACATGCAGCCAAGATAATGGGGCTTGACAATCTGTTGATGAATGCTTTTGAAAATTGGAATATTAGATGTCTTTTTGGTTCTTAAAATTAAGTTAACTTAGCACTTTTATTCATTCTCATTAACATTCTACCCCACCCTGCTTTTGTTTGTTTGAGTGCACCGCTGGTAGAGCCAGCATTTTTGACCATCTGTTTTGTAGCTACATCCTTAATTCTGTTGAGAAGCGAATTCTGGCCTTGGGCGCAGCAACTGTGAAGGTATGTTAATATACCTCCATATTAGGGTAATGCGTGACTTTGAGAACTTGCAGACTTTGATTCCGTGTGTCTGCTCTCTCAATTTTACTTTTTTAAACAATGCTAACATCAAAACTAGCTCCTGAGCACCTCCCTTTTAATATGTTTGCCTAGGAGCAGGTGTTGACACCTGTTTGTGAGGAGGCTGCCCTTGTTCTTATGAGTAATGGAGTTCGTGAACTTCAAAGATGCTGTTGAAAGAGCTTCAGCATATCACTGTTGTGCACCTCCTGTAGACGATACGTACTAGAGCCATGACACAGCTGTGATAGGAATGAATAAGGTGGTGCATGGGGTATTGTCCAATAATTTACATATTAAATAGTATTGGGCTGCTTGAATGTTTGTTTCAAGATCTACATTCATTCAAGTGGTGAATGTTCCTTCATACCCCTGATTTCTGCCTTGGTGGACAAGCTGAGTCAGTTATTGGCAAATGGTTCTATATGGTGAAATGTATAGGTACTAGTAGCTGTTTTCATGGAAACTTAAACACTTCAGAGGGAGACATTCAGCTGCCTCACCATAGATGTGTTCAGTCCTGCCCTCTTCCTGACCAGTACAAATCAGGAATGCTGGTTTATTTCCCTGGATCTTGTACATGAAAGTCAACTATGTAACTTGTATTATTCACACCCACTGAGATTACTTGGTAATAGTGAAACCTAATATCACTAATGTAATAAGGGGAAATGGGGTGAGTTTTTTTAGATGGATTGCTTTTCCCTTCTTGAGCTCAAGAGCAAGATGTTGTTTGATTTTTATTTTCTCTTTAAAGCCTTGAAGATGCAATCAAGATCAAATGAAATGTTTTGTTAATAAACCCATGTGAATGGATTGTTTTGCTTCTCCATACACATACATGCATCCAACCAGCCCGAGTTAAGGAAGACCATTGAGGGAGTGGAGAATTTGTAAATTGAGTTTTGGTAAATTCAGATATTTAAAAGACAGTTTGTGAGATCTGTAACCTCCTGGAGGTCAGTGTGTAATAATAATTTTCCATTGTGACCTGGGCACAGTAATTTTCCACCTTGCAGTAAGTGTAGCTTTTCATCTGGCAACTTTGAGTTAGCAAGTGATTGAAGTTTCTAGGGCAATGACCTATGATGCTGCTTGTCCTTATTTCTGTACACTCGTTACTGGCTCTGCCAACAGACAGAAAAACATTTGCATCTTCTATAACATTTTGCAAAATCAGTCTACATAAAAAACAAAACAACAACATTCAATCCCAGTAGAACTGTTGCATCCAGTTCTGGGCATCACCCTTTAGGAAGGATGAGAAGCCTTTAGAATGGCGAGAATAGTTCTGCTTGGAGGAATTCAGTTAGGTGAATAAACTGGAGAGGGTAAAAGATTTGATTTTTAGTTTTAAAATCATGGGTTTTGGATAATTAAACTTCTCATGGCTGAAGAAATGATAACCAAACTTGTGATTTTAAGATATTTAATAAAAACCATAGGTAATATGAAAAACATCATGCAAAGGTTAGGATTTGGAATGAACTGCTTGTTTGCAGCTTTGGAAATTGCATTGGATAAACAATTGGAGGAAATAAAATTTGTAGAGATTTGGTGCAGTGGGGAAATGAGACTCTGGTTCTTGCAAAACAAAAATCCAATGTAGAATCAGTGATCCTAATTGTCTCCTATTCTACACTACCTTGAACTACTTCTATGAAACTTGATGCCACAAAGTAGCACTTCACAGCCAGTTAAGAATTTTATTTACTTGTAGTTAAAGGGAAATGGGCAGCCGATTTACACGGTAAGAAAGTAACTCAAGTTGTTTTGAGAAATTGACATTGGCCAAATTACCAAGGAAAACTCCAGTCAATAATGCTGTAATGCCTTAAAGTCTTGCTGAAAGTCAGCAAAGCGTCTGTTTATCAGCCTGATGATGTGTCCCACCAATACAGCTCCCCTTTTGTTAATCTAGGTTGATGCTTTAGAATATGCTCAAGTAGAGTAAGGTTTACAACTGAGCTTGAACTCCGAGGCAAAAGTACTACAAATGAGTGAAGACGCTGCTGTTAAATCTGCCCTGGATGTCAAAAAGTTGTTGGAGTGACTGCAATAAACAGCGAGATCTTAGTCAGAGATCTCACCCAAAGCAATGGTACCCATCAGCTGTAGTGAAGTACCACTTTGGAATATCTTCAAGTTAGATTGAAGCCAGAATCTACAATTTTCTTAAAGTCCAATGCAGATGTGCCAGGCTATATTTAGATACAATTCCAATGATTCCCTTGCCCTTCTGATGAGGTAAAACCTCCTTGGAAAGCAAATTTTTTTGGTATAATTGACTACTGTTGTCTGGTCTGTTCTTGTGTATTGAATGTGATAGCAATTAGTAGATTTTTGTTTACTTAATTTGCTTCTGTCCCAATCAATGCTATTCTGTTACTGTGAGATAGTAATCTGTAGTGTTTTTTTTTAAACTGTTGAAGTCCGTCCAAAATTTTTAATTCCTTTGGAGAGTCTGCTTTCCTTTTTTTTATTTACAAGGTTCTTCATGTAACATATGTAACTCTTGTGTGCAGGAGTTCTCCTTAGTGATGCATCCATTATTACTGCGCATGGTAATAGTCATTTAAAATGTCTCTTTTCTGCTGTACTCAATTTCTTTTTCCAATGAAAACCTCTGAAAGGTTTCTGAAGTATTCAGAAATGTGACTTAGAAATTCTAGATTATTGGTACAATTGCTTTGCTTTTTTAATCTATGACCAAATAACACAAATCCATATGCATACTTGCTGAGCAAGTATGTAAATTCCATAGAGCAATGTTGTAGAGTAATTGGGAACGTTTTAAGAATGTAACATGACATCAAGGAAATTCTGAAGATTGAAGTTTTCCTGGTTCTGTTGCGCAGTTCGTTTTCAGTGGTGAGTTTAAAGTGGTGTAAGAATATTTTGTATCTACTCAATTGTTCTAACTTTGAAATATTTTCAGTTCCGGCTGAGAATTTATTTCTGATCAAGGGAAGCAGTACAACTTTGTAGTACAACAGCAGTACAACAGAAAACTCTGTTTTCATTTTCAGAAATTGTGGACGGGAACGTTAAGATGACTCTAGGTATGATCTGGACTATCATACTTCGTTTTGCTATTCAAGACATATCTGTTGAGGGTAAGGACAAATTTTAATTCTGAAACCTGAAACTCCACAGTATTTACCTATGGGTCTAAATTCTTTAGCCTGATTAGTATGCCCGTGGAGCTGAATTCTTTCTGCTGCTTTGAACACCATGCATGGTATGAGAGTTGAAAGTAGTGAGATATTTCTTCTTTATGACTTTGGGCATATACAAGTTAAAGGATGCCACAAAGGGGAGCTGGCAGTGTGTTTTTTTTTTGCATTCTTGCTTCTTTTTCTGGACCTTTTTTTGTTTACAATGCAATGGGGCTGGTGAAGGTGGTTTTGCCTCATTTGACTCTGCAGATTCTAAAACTTTAGGATAGTTTTTGTTCAGAAAGAATTCTCCTAACTCAAAGTCTGGCTGTATTTGGGACTGTTAGCAATAGACTTGTAGTGCAGTTGATACATGATCAGTGTGTGCCCCTGTTTATTGTGCTCAGTTTTCTGCATGCCTGCTCAACTTGTGGGGAAGGTTTACCCACAGTATACCTAATGTAAATGCTTAACATGGGCCGTTGGTAGCAAAATAAGATATCCATCCTCTACAAAAAATTCACCAAGTGAGCAGATTTCTATTTAGTCAAAGTTGCCACAGTCCCAGAAGACTGTAGGGCTGTGCTCTCAGATGACTAGCAGTGAGTTTAACCTGAAGGTCTCTGTGCCTCAGGTGAGTAGCAAGGTCATGATAGCAGTACCTTTTATACACTAGCTACCATAAAACTGAACCTGTGCTGTTGATGTCACTCTGCATTGCAAGCCAGCTATCCAGCCAACTGAGATAACTGACCTGTAGATTTATATTCAAATGTTTTGAAACACTAGAAATTAAGGACCTAATTACTTTCACCAAACAGATGAAATCACTTCAAATCTGGTTCAGTATAACATGAGTTTTAAAAATAAATGGCCTTTTTTAACTCCCTTTTGAGGCAGATTGTTTTAATCATGTTCGGTTATCTTAAAACTCTAAAACTCTGGTTAGACCACACTTGGAATATTGTGTTCAGTTTTGGTCACCTCATTATAGGAAAGATGTGGAAGCTTTTAGAGAGGGTGCAGAGGGGATTTACCAGGATGCTGCCTGGACTGGAGGGCAGGTCTTATGAGGAAAGGTTGAGGGAGCTAGGTGCTTTTTTTTTCCATTGGAGCGAAGAAGGATGAGAGGTGACTTGATAGAGGTTTACAAGATGATAGGCATAGAGCGGATAGTCGGAGACTTTTTCTTAGGGTGGAAATGACTATCATGAGGGGGCATAATTTTAAGGTGATTAGAGGAAGGTATAGGGGATATGTCAGAGGTAGGTTCTTCAGAGTGGTGGGTGTGTGGAATGCGCTGCCAGCAGTGGTAGTGGAGTCAGATACTTGAGACTTTTAAACGACTCTTGAATAGGCATATGGAGGATAGTAAAATGCAGGGTAGATTGATCTTAGTAGGATAATAGGTCGGCACAACATCGTGGGCCAAAGGGCCTGTACTGTGCTGTACTGTTCTATGTTCTATGTTTAAGGATAGTATTGGTGTAGATGCTGTAGTTTTGTTCACCTATTTTTGAATGTATTTCAAATGGAGAAATGTATCTGTATAGCAGAAGTCGAGAATCTGTAAAAACTGAGATGCTGGATCGACTGCTTGTTTTTGCTGTGCTTCTAAAACCATCTACTGAGGACAGTAATGTATAATGCTGTGATTGCAGCTGTTGGCCAATACATTCAGAAATTATTAACTTGGGCACAAAGATTGGTGAGCTGGTGGCCTTTATTATGGGATGATTATACTTGTTTATTCACAGTCAGACCCATATACATTCCAGGTTAAGAGATGCTTTTATTCTGCTTCCTGGAAGAATCCTATTTCAAAGTAATCATTGAGAGCCAGGTGATACTTGATGTGACGTTTCCTGTCGGGTCTGCAAACTACAGGAAGCCAAATGGTTCCAGATAGCAATTTTGCTCTGCCTTGGGGTGCTGATCTGGGTGTGATCTTTTAAGGTGCCTGTTATTCTTATGTGCTATAAAGTGTCTTGGGGCTACTTCAGGGAGTTCTTCTGATTTTTTTCGTTCCTTACCTTGCTAAAACTTTTCTTTGCCTAGAGACCTCTGCCAAGGAGGGATTGCTGCTGTGGTGCCAGAGAAAGACTGCACCGTACAAGAATGTAAATGTGCAGAACTTCCACATCAGGTATTGCTTGCAGCATATTTGTGAATATCTCAAATTTTCTGTGGTGACAGCAGGAAACTGGTTTGAGCTTGAATTAGTGACACACTTCCCTTAACAGTCTTGTAGTGACCATTTATTTCCACAGCCAGTCTTGTTGATTTGTGATCTTGTATCATACTTAACACATATATATATATATATACTGCTGTCCCTGTACACCCTGGAGCAAAACCGAGATAATAGTTGCCCTTTTGAGCGTTTTGTCATGGCAACCACTGCTGTGGAAAAACTGCTATGTGCAATATACCTTTGCTCAAACTTTGTGGTACAAAAAGACAAGGCTACAGTTCAACCTTGATGTTTGGAGCACATTCCATTTGGTCATTTTAATTTGCATGCTTATATTACTTCACTTTTTGACCTTGGCGTTAATTAGCTTTTCTTTTACAGTTGAAACTTGAGCAACATTGTAAATGGTGCTGTCAGCCAGTTGCCCCATTTGCCAATGCCACTACCCTCCTGAATACAGTTCATTGGTGTGAGATAGTAGGAACTGCAGATGCTGGAAAATCTGAGATAACAAGGTGTAGAGCTGGATGAACACAGCAGGCCGAGCAGGAAGGCTGACGTTTCGGGCCTGATGAAGGGTCTAGCCCCGAAACGTCAGCCTTCCTGCTCCTCTGATGCTGCTTGGCCTGCTGTGTTCATCCAGCTGTACACCTTGTTATCACAGTTCATTGGTGTGTTTTTTTAAGTGTTTGATACAGTTGAATTCTTCAAATTTTAAATGTTGCCACTGACAAAGATAAAATAATCCCACATAAAAGGACACTAACGTACTCTGTTCTTATTGCCGTCTGTAGCAATATTGGATTTGTGAACTGGTTTCTACAATGTAAGACACTATAGGAATTCCCACAAGTTTTCTAGGTTCTTCTAAAGATCTGTTGGCACATGGATATTGTTTTACAGGGGCTAATCTCTTTCATTCCCAAAATCCTCCTAAAACCTTTATTCATTTTCTGTTTCAAACATTACCCACTTCTCAAGATGAAATAGCATGTGCTTAAACTACTTCTATGCTGAAGACTTGTCACTGACTTCCCAGCAGCTTCAATATAGTCATATTCCAAGCTGCTTCACCAGAATGAAGCAAAATTAAGGTTTTTTGCAATATAGTGTAGATGCCATATCCCTTTCTCTTTAAGGAATCATAGTTTCAAGTGATGGAAATTAATATATTTTATTTTATCTCCACAATGTTCTAATATTGGATGCTGTTTCGGATGATTGGTGTCCAGTTGGAAGGATGGTTTGGCATTCAACGCACTCATCCATAGACACAGACCAGAACTTATCGATTACGATAAGCTGAGGAAGGTATGTAAAATTTGAAACATTCCTTTGAAAAATAAGATTAGATGAAAAACAAAATTTCCTCTGACTTTCTGATCACTATATTGTAATGTTAGATCTATTCTTGAGAAGCTGTAGTTCTGTGTCCTTGTATATATTTTGTTCAAAATGAATGGTTCTATCACACTGGTAAGCATTTTTAAAAGCTGAATCTTTGTCACCTTTTTCCTATCGTACTCAGGATGATCCACTGACAAACTTGAACAATGCCTTTGAAGTGGCTGAGAAGTACCTGGATATACCCAAGATGTTGGATGCAGAGGGTAGGTCACTTTGTCCTGTGTAAAATAGCAAAGTCAACACTTACAAGCATGTTGCACGTTAATTCTTGTATGGAAAATTGTTCTGTGACTGGCCTTGAGAAAAGTACTGGCGTGACTTTTTCATTCCAGTTGTGTGGGATCTTCTGTTCCGTTCTGCCTTTAAATAATTAAAGCTACGTGGAGTTCACTTTTAATGTATCTTCAACATCAACAATTGGTGGTCTGTACTGCAAGTCATTGCAGTGGAAGCATTATAAAATTAATTTTCAGATCATTAAGGATGAGGGAAAGACTGGTCTTTAGTTCAAAGAAAATCTAAATTAGAGCAGACTGTGTTTTCATACTTGTATTAGTAATGTTTTATACCTGGAAATGAAGTTGTGTAACTGAAAACTGTTAACATGGGTAGCTTAAGTGCAGTTTTAAAAGGCTTGAGACCCTTGGTTCTTAAAATGGCAGTTAATTTGTGTCCATATAGCATTTTACAGCTGTCAGGATAGTTTGAAATTGTATCCTGTCCCTTAGAATAGGGCTACTCCTGGAAAGCCGGCTTCTTAATGGGAATATTTACTACATAAAAATCTAGAAAATTCTGCAGTCTATTTACTTTATCAAGTTAGTGCTATTGAGTTTTGGCTTGAAGTTACACTAATTGATAGTTATGGTAGCTGGGTGAATATCGTTTTGACTTGGGTAGTTTAAAAGTTTCTGGACTTTGTCAACATAACCTTACCAATTGTGAGTGGATTAAGTTATAATAATGTGGGTTAATGTATTTTAGTTTGAAATGCCAAGACTGACTAGGGGTATAAAGGTAGGAGATCTAAGTCTTGTTTAGACGTCTGGATTGATGGGTTTCTTTGGTAACCTGTTGTAATTTCAGCAGTGCGCAGTGTCCTTTCAGCTTCAGTGAATTGGCATTGGATGGGTCTCTAAATGCTAATTAGGTAACCTGGCTGAACTAATTTGCTTGGCTTTTGAAAACCAATGTAACTGTACCACTTTTTAATTAATAGTTCATAATTTATTATGAACAGGAACAGACCTCCTCACTCCTGCTCTGCCATTTAGTTCAATCATGAATCAACATGTATCTTGACTCCGTTTTTCCGAGATCAATAATTTCTGTCTTGTCCTTGAAATGATGGAGCATCCAACGCCTACGAGTCGGACAGTTATTTCTCAGAAATATTAGTGTTTTAATTTAGATAAGTGCAGTAGAGATTAGATTTGTATTGCTCTCTTTCATTATGATTGTTAGGGCAATTTAATGGTTTGTTCCTACTGATCTTAATATCTACCTAGTCAATTGACAAGGATATCAGTGAAGCCAAAAAATCAATGTATGGCACAAGTTGAGCAGTGGAGCTTTTTGGTTTTCCATGGTTGCAGGCTGTTGAGTAGAGTATTTAAGACCAACAACTTGGAATGGGAGAAATGTGTGCCTCAATAACCAGCTTTGTGGCACTGAACTATCAAGAACGTGTTTATTTTCACACTTAGTTGACAATCTTTCTTTATTTTTAAATTACAAATGGAGATTACTTCCAGTTCTCGGCACTAGAAACTGCTGTTCTCCGTTTTAGAGTTGAGTTTTGCTTTGCTTTGTACTGAATCAGTTTAAATTTCAATACTTACCGAAGACCAGTTTTATACTTGCAATATTTAAAAGTAAACATTTCAAGATTTCAGTAACTCTTGGCTGACATAGCTGGCAAACTGGTCAGAGAAGCTATTGTTATATATTGAACAAAAACAAAGTTGCTGGAAAAGCTCAGCAGGTCTGGCAGTATCTGTGAAGGAGAAAACAGTGTTAACGTTTCTGGTCCGGTGACCCTTCCTCAGAACCCCACTGCGAAACACACCACT